GCCATCGGTCTAAACGCGTCACGTGACAGAATATTCCCCAATTTTCAAAACTGTGCGTGTTGGGAAAAATATTTGAAAGATAATTAACACAACAGCCTCCATTTGACTTCGAAAATATGCTCGGATATTTGTCCGATGCTCGGATATCTGTTCCTCGAAGCTCACAGTTTTCCTCGAGCTTCGCTCTCCGAAAACTGTTCGCTTCTCGGAACAAATATCCGAGCATATTTTCTCGCCAAATGGAGGCTATTGTTTATATATTCACCAATTTTTAAAACTGCTTATGTTCCGAAAAATATTTGAAGGATTATAAACACAATAGCTTCCATTTAGTACAAAATATGCTCGGATGTGCTTCTTCAAAGCTCACAGTTTTCCTCGAGCCACGTTCTCGGAAAGCTGTTCGCTTCTCGGAACAGATGATGTCCGCCGACATCACAAATATATCCTAGTAGGTTTTCGCGCCAAATGGAGGCCATCGTTTATGTATACCACGAGAGCATAACTATTTTATTCCGTTCCATAGAAAATACGGTGGAGATCAAGAACACAATGCGATATGCGCGCGGCGCAGGATGGGAAGGTTGGATGTAATACCGTCGAATCTACAACGGCTTTCCTGTATTCTGATTGGCTGTTTGTTCTATATCATGGTATAAATAAACAATAGCCTCCCTTTGGCTTGAAAATATGCTCGGATATTTGCCCGCGGACATTATCTGTTCAGATAATGTCCAAGGACGAATATCCGAGCACATTTTCAAAGTCAAATGGAGGCTATTGTGTTTATTATCCTTCAGATATTTTTTGCAACACGCGCAGTTTCGAAAATTGGGGAATATTCTGGGATATTCCCCAGTTTCAGCTGGGGAATATTCGGTCACGTGACGCGTTTAGACCACTCGCGCGCGAGCGAAAATATTTTATGGATTATAAATAAACAATAGCGTCCATTTGGCGCGAAAATATGCTCGGATATTTGTCCGGGGACATTATCTATTAAGAGAAGCAAACAGTTTTCCGAGAGCGAAGCTCGAGGAAAACTGTGAGCTTCGAGGAACAGATAATGTCCAAGGACGAATATCCGAGCACATTTTCAAAGTCAAATGGAGGCTCTATAGTGTTAGCTTGCGAACGCAGACGTATTTCCGGCTGTCACTTGGTTCCGCCGTAAAATAACGTCTGCGAACCCGAGTCAGAAAACGATTTCTGTGACGTAGGAATTCTAAGCCAATCATAGTTTAGCTCAGATAACCCCGGAACTACCGCGCGAGGTATTCGCTATGAGGAGCGCTCGAGTTTCATTCTATCATGGAATCTGATTGGCCAACGAGAAACAAAAGTCATTACGTCACAGAAAACGTTTCCTGGCTCGGGCTCGCAGACGTTATTTTTCGGCGGAACCAAGTGACAGCCGGAAATACGTCTGCGTTCGCAGGCTACTATAGTGTTTATTATCCTTCAAATATTTCTTGCAACACGCACAGTTTCGAAAATTGGCGAATATTCTGGGATATTCCCCAGTTGCAGCTGTGGAATGTTCGGTCACGTGACGCGTTTCGACCAATCGCGCGCGAGCGAAAATATTTGATGGATTATAAAACCTGACAACAAACACGTCTTGCGCATTGCTCGTGCAATAATTCATGTTGATACGCACGAGCGGGTTCGTTAATTATTCGCTGACGTGACACAAACGAAGTGTCCGTAACACGGCTAGCAATTCAAGTTATTCAAGATATCAACCGGGAAAAAAGCTGTCATCTGCAGATAAATTGCAACCCTCCGTGAAAGTTTGTTCACTTAAGCAAGGCAGCTAATGTTGTATGGTTTTACAGGAAGTTTAATAAGGTAAGTCGTCACTGATAGTCCTTTGTTACATCTTATAAAGCTCCGCTGTAGCTGTTTATAGCACAAAAAATTAACAGTGTTGGGTTATCGCTTTTTGCGGTTGTCGCTTATTCAGAGTAAATGAAACTAACGAGCATGTAAAATTCAGTCCAAACAGCAACTAATCGTTAGAAATTGTACATTATAAAATGCGCTAGCTTCAGTGTATCCATCATTGGAAACAGAAAACACGTGGTTAACACGCGTTGGTCCCCTGACAATACATGCGTCTCTGTCAAATACAGCTGCTGGCTTTTCCTACCACTACTGTAGTTGGTTTTAACCATTATACTATCCATTAACAGTTACTACGGCGAAACTTGCCGTGCAGCATATATACTACTGTAAATTATCGAAATATATCCCCCATCTTCCCTGTCCAAAAAGACACAATATCTTGGACACAAAACTCATTCAATTGAAGCACCCCCTTGCTAAACTCCTGCTTTGTTTGGAGAACGCAAACGTTAATTTAAGGCTTGTTTTGCCTTTCATGAAGTTATGCTAAAAGAATCGCGACTTCCTTTTTGAAATGATGGTTTCTGGGAGCAATTTATTAGCAACTAAATCCATATTTCATCTAAAACTGTCAGGGTCTGTTTTCAGTCGAGAAGCTCTGAGACTTTCTGAATTTTGGGGTCGTGTAGGCTTCCTAGCTTTCCTGATAAAAAATTTCTCCGAGAAATATGTTAAAGAACACATCTGTTGTAAAAGTGTCGTGGTGTCGCCACGTTGCTCTTTATTCAGATTGTGTGTTTTGTAACAGAAGGTTGTTTCGACATAACTGAAAATTTCATCAACTTTTTACTCTGTGTACAAAGTGAATAAAGTAAAATTTGCACCGTTCGGGATTTCGAAAAGTTCATCTTGCGAGCTAAAACCGGGAAACTGAAAATTCGGCTAAGTTTGCATCAAGTCTAATAATAGCTGCACTCTCTGCGCGGCTGGGGATTCCCCGGCTGTGACGATGGCGCGTCATAAATTATAAACCAGGACAATTGACAATTCACATTCTGCCAGCTTCGAACCGATTGGTAGGGAAATTTCCCTAAAGATTTTCTTTTTCTTCTCAAAAAGAAGGTAAGTTTTCGATAGTTTCAGTGTAGTCCTCGCATCGCTCGAATTTTATCTGACTTTCTCGTCGAGTGTGTGGATGTTTTGTTCTGTGTAGCATGTAGTTTGAACGAAAACCTGACTGATTTGCATTCAAAATGGCGGAAGGATTATGCTTCGGAAAGCATTTTTCTCCCGCTTTTCTCAGAAGGTTATTACAGCGAACTAGATTTCGGAAAGAGAGGAACATAAAAGACGTGTTCTTTTCTGAGTTCTGACATCTAAGTTTTCCCTTTAGCGACCTCACACTCGCTTCTGAAACGAATTGCTACTCAGCGAATCGATGAAGCGTACACAAAGCCTAAGACAGGGACAAGTATGGAAGAGACCAGAAATAATGAAATGCCTATTCCGCGACTCGCCGAACTACAAAAGGAAATCGAACGACTATCCTCGGAGAGGAACCAATATCTCGATACGCTGAGCAATAGCGACATCTTGAAATTACAGCTTCGAGAAACGAGGAAAGATGCCAAGTTATTATCAAAACAAAGAAAGAAGTTGCAGGCGATGGCTGATATCGAAGGAGCCAACGAAGAGGTAATATAGTACTGGTGTATATTGATTGTTTTTACAGAAATTCGTGTAGGTATGTTTAGACGGGGATAAACAAATGTAAAAGATGTTAAATTACTGCAGAATTTTGATCTGCATGTACACCGACAAGTTTGTCCGACCAAAACAACGCTTGATCACTGGACCATGAAATACTAAGAAATTAGTCTCATTTATTCCTGTGTAAACTAAACAGGAAAACTTTCGTTTCAGCAACACAGCTATGTATGTACGCATGTATTTTTTAGACGCTGTCTCGATTACTTGCCCTCGGTGAACCCGTGCATGTCAAATGCTGTATCTTCGGCTCAACACTTTGGGAGCAGTGACAAATACGAAGTTGATTTTGCTGACTTCGAACTCTCAAGAACGTAGGCGTGCTACATATTTCAGTGAATGATCAGTCGAACACTGAGGAAACGGAAAAATTCGATTCTTTGTTCTGGCAAATGTAATCCTACGCGACGATCACTTTTCAATTCCAAAGAGGTCGAGTAAGAGGCCATTTACGGCAGCGCTTGCAATGGTCATGTGAGAACCTTCGAAGTGTCGCATCATGGCTGTAAATAAACTTGGCGTTATAAAACTAGGCGTCTTTTCAGCCGGGCGTCTGTTTCTAGAGGCGTCTCTCCGTCTTTTCTGCGCAATATATAATCCGATCGCTGCTTGCAAAATCAAACGGTGCTACATGTACTTGCAAAGCGGACGAAGTTGGGAAACGACTGTATTTGTTTTGCTTAAAACCGCGACTTAAAACGTCAAAATAATCATTTGGTAAGAAACCAAAAGCAGCTTGCAGGTAAGTGTGTGAGACCCTTTTGTTCAGACACAACCTGGCAAACTCATCTTTTTTTTTTTGCCGGGAGCTCGCAACAAATTTTTCATTGCCAAAGCAGTTGCCATGGCGGCCTTGGTGCGAATATCAGTCCGGTGCCATTTAAATTTGCCAAAACACCGCCCACACATCTTCGTCAGTGGCGGTCGATGTTCAATATTATTTGCCGTAATCGTTTGTGAAATACGCCCACACAGCAATTTTTTGCCGTCGCCTGCTTGCGGTTTTATAATATTTACTAGTCAGAATAAATCCCTGATGTCGTTCAGTTTAATTAAGGGTGCACTGCACTGCTCGCGGACACCGGCTCGTAATGGCGCCGATATGCTCTGTTCAATTTTTCCACAATAAGCTACAGTAGACACGAATTGGATACTCATAATTTTAGGGAACTGACTTTTGAAACAGAATCCCTGCCGTCTTGGGGCAAGTAACGCCAGTGCATAAAAAAGGTTAGGTATCGAGCGTACAAAGATGAAACAAGATATTTAAGAAATATAGTTGGAAGGTTTTCTAAGATATCGGATTAAAATTCTCCCCGCTCGGTAAAAACATGCCCTCAAATATTCTAACGTACATCTTAAGTTCACGGCAACGATTTTACGGAATACATGTGCATTTTTCGGGTTAGGAATAGCAACTGTAGACTGAATTACAGACGCCACCATCCTAAATTTTAAAGCTAAAACCAGATAGCTAGAATCCAAGCTACAGCGATCTTGGAAGTTGCAGATTTCTTTCTCCACTAGAAGAACTTTGCGTTATACTAAAGCAAGTTAAATGTGACAGAGGCAAGGGGACGTTGTTTCATGAACGACCTTGGAGAGGAACGTTTTGCGATTTTTAGCCATGTTACAAAGATTATTTGCAAAATACCGCGATGTGAAATAATTTTCATGATGTTTTACGAACGTTTTATGCAGTCAAAAACCCTTAAATTTGATTGGTAATTTTTGTTCGGGTTTCTTACCAATGCAGAACGTGAAAAGTTAAAAGGTAAAATTGAAAGAAAATTTTTTATTATAGTGTGCTCTTCACAAAATGGCAAACAAAATTTCGAATTGGTTCATCGACTTTCAAGATTCATTCCTAATACGGCCTTTTGAAAGCTCCACCAAGAAGAGTAATTTTGTAACAAAAATGTTAGCAACTAGCAATGTTTACAAAACAAGTACCGTAATTAGTTCTAAAAATATCGTCAATTTGAGTTATTTTTAGCCAAAGAAAAAATAAAAACAAATTTAACTTTGCGGAGAAAGGCGCGTTAAAGTTCGACCGGCGAATGACTTTCCGAAAACATCGTAAATCCGGCTTTTGTTTTCAGGAGAGTATTAATTTACTTTTTAATTTAAGGGAGTTTTCCCCACCTAAGCGGAAAATAGCTTTCGGCTTGGGTGTTTAATGTGGTTTTCATTTTTAGTTCGTCTTAACTTCATTACAAGCTGAAATATGAACACTAACCAGTAGAATGGCGTCTTAAACACAACTGCCGAGGAAAGAATCTTCGTTTGGTAGTGCTTTGGTACGCAAATCTACTCTACAAACACCAGAACCACAAACTGGTGCACGAAACTGCCGGAATTCATAGAGAAGAGTTCAGAAATAGCTGACCGGTTGACGTTGCTCTAAGTTTTCTGTCTTTTGACGTTGAGTTTGGTGATTTTCGAACCCGATAAAGTCCTCAGATCTAGTAAAACACCGCCATTAGTTGAGAACTGTTCTTCCTGACAAAGAAACCAGCTCACGGCCTTAATAACAACAAAAATTGTAAGTTAAATCATTCCTAATTTTCTTGCTCAGTTGTTCTTTTGGATTTTTTTTAGTTTATCATGGAGTTATTTATGATAGTTGACAATTTGATTTCTAACTTTTCCATTCCTATGCCAACATATGCTTTCGCGAACATGCTCAGATCTGTCAAAGTGTTGCCAAGGTAAATGACACGCGGAAGTTCTAGCTAGTTGTCAAACACAATTTTTGTTGTTCCCCTCAGAAACAGGCTTCTAAAAGCTTTCTTTAGCTTCTTTCATTACCAGTTTTTTTTTTCAAGGAACTTTGAACTCGAGTTGTAAAGGCTGGGGAAGATTTTAGGGGAAATCGATAAAGCGACAAAACTATTCCTAAAATTAATAGACTGTGTGAAACTTCCGCTGAGCATTGTTGAAACAGGAAGTTTTAAAGAACGCCGAATGGTTCAGGATGTCTAAATAAGTGTTTTGCCCAAAATTGGAGCAGTTTGTAGATTTTACTGCGTTCTCAAGGGCACTATTTGAGAGAGTCTTGAATAAAAACGGGTGAATACTGTGCTGAAACTCGCAAACAACAAGCTTCACTTCACGGTAACTGACTGAAACGCTTGGATGTGAATGTCTAGATTTTGTGGGCCCCATGGAGGCCAATCATCCTAGCAATTTCCCGCAACGAAGAAAGATACTTAAGTTCATTCTTTATATGGCCGCAACAGATATTGCTTAATTCTTCGCTGGCTTCGGTGACGAATAATCGCCATTTATGGTTAAGTATTATTCTTGAAGTACACAATTAAAATCATTCGAGCGAATCACAATGTGCCCTCAGGAGTGGTGTGGGGGCGGGGGGTTTTGTTTTGTTTGGTTGTTGTTTGATTATTTTCTTCGTTGTTTTCTTGCAGAATTGAATTAAAAATATTGGACTTCCGCCTTTCACCAAACGAAAAATTTCCCAGTTTCGTTTGAAAAAAATAAGTTCCCTCCCAAAACTGAAATACTAATTTTAGTGAAGTGACTCTTGCCGCCTTCATAAATGCCATACAATGAAACCGTCGTTATTAAACCACAGCTGATATCGCAAAAGATCTCATGGAGTTATATCTCTCCGAGCCGTGGACAAGAGTGGTAAAAAAAATGCGTGTTTCTCAGTATTTTATCGTTTAAGATGTTACTTCAGCATCTCATTTCCTTTCAGTTAGTTAATCTTAATTTGGCTATGAACACGTCAAGCAGTATCTAATTTCTGTAGCATTTCTTCTATGGCGAATGAAAGTGTTTTCATTCTTCAGTGTGATTTGAACTTGCTAAGACCTAGGGATGTATCGCCTTGATGAACTGTCAAATTCTCAACGTTATCATTACAACGAATGTATTCCAATCAGAAATGAGAATGAGGATTTCGAGCTGAGCAAAGATTTATATAGCATGTGGAGTTTCCTACCGTGACCTCGTAACAGCATAAGATCACTTCTACACGGAAGTAAGCCTCATTGAAATGCAACTTGTCGCTTTCTCTGTTACCTACGCTCTGTTTAAATCACGTGTATCATGATGTTCGGTTTGTAGGCTGGTTCGATACTCCTTGAATAAGGCATATAAATTGAACCAAACTCTGGGGCCGAATGACTTTGTTTGAAAGGCCGGTCTCTCCATGGACTATGACATTTTCGCGTCGAGCGCGAGGGACCTCTATGCACTGATACAGTCCGCTGTTAGTATGCTTATTGCACCAGCGTTGTTGTAGCTGAACCTCAAGGCTGTTCGTTAGACTTCGCAGTCAAGGAAACTGTCTCAATACTAGCCCAATACTAGTTCAATAGTTTCCTTACTTGGGTTAGTGAAATTACAGCCGAGTGAACATGTTACAGAGTTAACTCGAGGACAGAAGTCAACCATCTAATATGGGCATGTGGTATCACTAGCGAACAAACCGCAAACAAAACCAAATGTTCCCGGACCGATTCAAAAATTCCTGTGAATAATTTTCATCTCATTTCCTTTTACACAATTAGCTGGATTTCAAAGGGCTTTAAATTTTTTGGTCAGCAACTGCTAAATTTTGCTGACATGAGGCTAAAACCGATTGTACAACACTTGGTGTAGATTATTTGAAGTGATATATTTAATATATGGTCGTTCTATAATTTAGTGAGGTAACTAAGTTTTATTTATATTTGTCTTTTCTGGTATTATAACTTACGTTTATTTTGACGTTTTCAGACTCCAGAACAGCCACAAGAAGACCAGACTTCGAAACCGGAAAATCACATTCCTTCTGAAATAAACCTTGGTGCATCTGAAGAAGCTTTTCTTTCCAGGGAACAAACGTACTCTTTTCCTTCGGAAGAAAATTTCTCCCCTCCTCTGTCCCCGCAGGACTCCGGAATGAACGGNGTGTGTGGATGTTTTGTTCTGTGTAGCATGTAGTTTGAACGAAAACCTGACTGATTTGCATTCAAAATGGCGGAAGGATTATGCTTCGGAAAGCATTTTTCTCCCGCTTTTCTCAGAAGGTTATTACAGCGAACTAGATTTCGGAAAGAGAGGAACATAAAAGACGTGTTCTTTTCTGAGTTCTGACATCTAAGTTTTCCCTTTAGCGACCTCACACTCGCTTCTGAAACGAATTGCTACTCAGCGAATCGATGAAGCGTACACAAAGCCTAAGACAGGGACAAGTATGGAAGAGACCAGAAATAATGAAATGCCTATTCCGCGACTCGCCGAACTACAAAAGGAAATCGAACGACTATCCTCGGAGAGGAACCAATATCTCGATACGCTGAGCAATAGCGACATCTTGAAATTACAGCTTCGAGAAACGAGGAAAGATGCCAAGTTATTATCAAAACAAAGAAAGAAGTTGCAGGCGATGGCTGATATCGAAGGAGCCAACGAAGAGGTAATATAGTACTGGTGTATATTGATTGTTTTTACAGAAATTCGTGTAGGTATGTTTAGACGGGGATAAACAAATGTAAAAGATGTTAAATTACTGCAGAATTTTGATCTGCATGTACACCGACAAGTTTGTCCGACCAAAACAACGCTTGATCACTGGACCATGAAATACTAAGAAATTAGTCTCATTTATTCCTGTGTAAACTAAACAGGAAAACTTTCGTTTCAGCAACACAGCTATGTATGTACGCATGTATTTTTTAGACGCTGTCTCGATTACTTGCCCTCGGTGAACCCGTGCATGTCAAATGCTGTATCTTCGGCTCAACACTTTGGGAGCAGTGACAAATACGAAGTTGATTTTGCTGACTTCGAACTCTCAAGAACGTAGGCGTGCTACATATTTCAGTGAATGATCAGTCGAACACTGAGGAAACGGAAAAATTCGATTCTTTGTTCTGGCAAATGTAATCCTACGCGACGATCACTTTTCAATTCCAAAGAGGTCGAGTAAGAGGCCATTTACGGCAGCGCTTGCAATGGTCATGTGAGAACCTTCGAAGTGTCGCATCATGGCTGTAAATAAACTTGGCGTTATAAAACTAGGCGTCTTTTCAGCCGGGCGTCTGTTTCTAGAGGCGTCTCTCCGTCTTTTCTGCGCAATATATAATCCGATCGCTGCTTGCAAAATCAAACGGTGCTACATGTACTTGCAAAGCGGACGAAGTTGGGAAACGACTGTATTTGTTTTGCTTAAAACCGCGACTTAAAACGTCAAAATAATCATTTGGTAAGAAACCAAAAGCAGCTTGCAGGTAAGTGTGTGAGACCCTTTTGTTCAGACACAACCTGGCAAACTCATCTTTTTTTTTTTGCCGGGAGCTCGCAACAAATTTTTCATTGCCAAAGCAGTTGCCATGGCGGCCTTGGTGCGAATATCAGTCCGGTGCCATTTAAATTTGCCAAAACACCGCCCACACATCTTCGTCAGTGGCGGTCGATGTTCAATATTATTTGCCGTAATCGTTTGTGAAATACGCCCACACAGCAATTTTTTGCCGTCGCCTGCTTGCGGTTTTATAATATTTACTAGTCAGAATAAATCCCTGATGTCGTTCAGTTTAATTAAGGGTGCACTGCACTGCTCGCGGACACCGGCTCGTAATGGCGCCGATATGCTCTGTTCAATTTTTCCACAATAAGCTACAGTAGACACGAATTGGATACTCATAATTTTAGGGAACTGACTTTTGAAACAGAATCCCTGCCGTCTTGGGGCAAGTAACGCCAGTGCATAAAAAAGGTTAGGTATCGAGCGTACAAAGATGAAACAAGATATTTAAGAAATATAGTTGGAAGGTTTTCTAAGATATCGGATTAAAATTCTCCCCGCTCGGTAAAAACATGCCCTCAAATATTCTAACGTACATCTTAAGTTCACGGCAACGATTTTACGGAATACATGTGCATTTTTCGGGTTAGGAATAGCAACTGTAGACTGAATTACAGACGCCACCGTCCTAAATTTTAAAGCTAAAACCAGATAGCTAGAATCCAAGCTACAGCGATCTTGGAAGTTGCAGATTTCTTTCTCCACTAGAAGAACTTTGCGTTATACTAAAGCAAGTTAAATGTGACAGAGGCAAGGGGACGTTGTTTCATGAACGACCTTGGAGAGGAACGTTTTGCGATTTTTAGCCATGTTACAAAGGTTATTTGCAAAATACCGCGATGTGAAATAATTTTCATGATGTTTTACGAACGTTTTATGCAGTCAAAAACCCTTAAATTTGATTGGTAATTTTTGTTCGGGTTTCTTACCAATGCAGAACGTGAAAAGTTAAAAGGTAAAATTGAAAGAAAATTTTTTATTATAGTGTGCTCTTCACAAAATGGCAAACAAAATTTCGAATTGGTTCATCGACTTTCAAGATTCATTCCTAATACGGCCTTTTGAAAGCTCCACCAAGAAGAGTAATTTTGTAACAAAAATGTTAGCAACTAGCAATGTTTACAAAACAAGTACCGTAATTAGTTCTAAAAATATCGTCAATTTGAGTTATTTTTAGCCAAAGAAAAAATAAAAACAAATTTAACTTTGCGGAGAAAGGCGCGTTAAAGTTCGACCGGCGAATGACTTTCCGAAAACATCGTAAATCCGGCTTTTGTTTTCAGGAGAGTATTAATTTACTTTTTAATTTAAGGGAGTTTTCCCCACCTAAGCGGAAAATAGCTTTCGGCTTGGGTGTTTAATGTGGTTTTCATTTTTAGTTCGTCTTAACTTCATTACAAGCTGAAATATGAACACTAACCAGTAGAATGGCGTCTTAAACACAACTGCCGAGGAAAGAATCTTCGTTTGGTAGTGCTTTGGTACGCAAATCTACTCTACAAACACCAGAACCACAAACTGGTGCACGAAACTGCCGGAATTCATAGAGAAGAGTTCAGAAATAGCTGACCGGTTGACGTTGCTCTAAGTTTTCTGTCTTTTGACGTTGAGTTTGGTGATTTTCGAACCCGATAAAGTCCTCAGATCTAGTAAAACACCGCCATTAGTTGAGAACTGTTCTTCCTGACAAAGAAACCAGCTCACGGCCTTAATAACAACAAAAATTGTAAGTTAAATCATTCCTAATTTTCTTGCTCAGTTGTTCTTTTGGATTTTTTTTAGTTTATCATGGAGTTATTTATGATAGTTGACAATTTGATTTCTAACTTTTCCATTCCTATGCCAACATATGCTTTCGCGAACATGCTCAGATCTGTCAAAGTGTTGCCAAGGTAAATGACACGCGGAAGTTCTAGCTAGTTGTCAAACACAATTTTTGTTGTTCCCCTCAGAAACAGGCTTCTAAAAGCTTTCTTTAGCTTCTTTCATTACCAGTTTTTTTTTTCAAGGAACTTTGAACTCGAGTTGTAAAGGCTGGGGAAGATTTTAGGGGAAATCGATAAAGCGACAAAACTATTCCTAAAATTAATAGACTGTGTGAAACTTCCGCTGAGCATTGTTGAAACAGGAAGTTTTAAAGAACGCCGAATGGTTCAGGATGTCTAAATAAGTGTTTTGCCCAAAATTGGAGCAGTTTGTAGATTTTACTGCGTTCTCAAGGGCACTATTTGAGAGAGTCTTGAATAAAAACGGGTGAATACTGTGCTGAAACTCGCAAACAACAAGCTTCACTTCACGGTAACTGACTGAAACGCTTGGATGTGAATGTCTAGATTTTGTGGGCCCCATGGAGGCCAATCATCCTAGCAATTTCCCGCAACGAAGAAAGATACTTAAGTTCATTCTTTATATGGCCGCAACAGATATTGCTTAATTCTTCGCTGGCTTCGGTGACGAATAATCGCCATTTATGGTTAAGTATTATTCTTGAAGTACACAATTAAAATCATTCGAGCGAATCACAATGTGCCCTCAGGAGTGGTGTGGGGGCGGGGGGTTTTGTTTTGTTTGGTTGTTGTTTGATTATTTTCTTCGTTGTTTTCTTGCAGAATTGAATTAAAAATATTGGACTTCCGCCTTTCACCAAACGAAAAATTTCCCAGTTTCGTTTGAAAAAAATAAGTTCCCTCCCAAAACTGAAATACTAATTTTAGTGAAGTGACTCTTGCCGCCTTCATAAATGCCATACAATGAAACCGTCGTTATTAAACCACAGCTGATATCGCAAAAGATCTCATGGAGTTATATCTCTCCGAGCCGTGGACAAGAGTGGTAAAAAAAATGCGTGTTTCTCAGTATTTTATCGTTTGAGATGTTACTTCAGCATCTCATTTCCTTTCAGTTAGTTAATCTTAATTTGGCTATGAACACGTCAAGCAGTATCTAATTTCTGTAGCATTTCTTCTATGGCGAATGAAAGTGTTTTCATTCTTCAGTGTGATTTGAACTTGCTGAGACCTAGGGATGTATCGCCTTGATGAACTGTCAAATTCTCAACGTTATCATTACAACGAATGTATTGCAATCAGAAATGAGAATGAGGATTTCGAGCTGAGCAAAGATTTATATAGCATGTCGAGTTTCCTACCGTGACCTCGTAACAGCATAAGATCACTTCTACACGGAAGTAAGCCTCATTGAAATTCAACTTGTCGCTTTCTCTGTTACCTACGCTCTGTTTAAATCACGTGTATCATGATGTTCGGTTTGTAGGCTGGTTCGATACTCCTTGAATAAGGCATATAAATTGAACCAAACTCTGGGGCCGAATGACTTTGTTTGAAAGGCCGGTCTCTCCATGGACTATGACATTTTCGCGTCGAGCGCGAGGGACCTCTATGCACTGATACAGTCCGCTGTTAGTATGCTTATTGCACCAGCGTTGTTGTAGCTGAACCTCAAGGCTGTTCGTTAGACTTCGCAGTCAAGGAAACTGTCTCAATACTAGCCCAATACTAGTTCAATAGTTTCCTTACTTGGGTTAGTGAAATTACAGCCGAGTGAACATGTTACAGAGTTAACTCGAGGACAGAAGTCAACCATCTAATATGGGCATGTGGTATCACTAGCGAACAAACCGCAAACAAAACCAAATGTTCCCGGACCGATTCAAAAATTCCTGTGAATAATTTTCATCTCATTTCCTTTTACACAATTAGCTGGATTTCAAAGGGCTTTAAATTTTTTGGTCAGCAACTGCTAAATTTTGCTGACATGAGGCTAAAACCGATTGTACAACACTTGGTGTAGATTATTTGAAGTGATATATTTAATATATGGTCGTTCTATAATTTAGTGAGGTAACTAAGTTTTATTTATATTTGTCTTTTCTGGTATTATAACTTACGTTTATTTTGACGTTTTCAGACTCCAGAACAGCCACAAGAAGACCAGACTTCGAAACTGGAAAATCACATTCCTTCTGAAATAAACCTTGGTGCATCTGAAGAAGCTTTTCTTTCCAGGGAACAAACGTACTCTTTTCCTTCGGAAGAAAATTTCTCCCCTCCTCTGTCCCCGCAGGACTCCGGAATGAACGGTCATATCTCACCAGCCCTCCCTGCCTCGTCCGGCATTGCGAAGACCCAAAAGTCACCTGAGTGGGGTGCCCTGGATGCAAAAACTGAAGCCAATGCCCTGCGGATCGAAAACCGAGACTTGGTTCGAATCAAGAGAAAACAGGAAGAACAGGTTCGTAGCTTGGTTCAGGAAGTCGGAACACTGGGCACAAGGTGTAAAGAGCTTGAGAGTATTGCACAGCGGTAAGTCACGTGTTAAGATGCTTCTGCGCATACTATGCCTTTTTAGTATCACCCAACTAGTGGACTAATGCAAATCCTGCATTTTAATTGGCTATGCTACTAGAGGACTATTAGCAATAGTCCTCGAGTAGCGAAATTGGCGCAATCGAGCGTGACGCTTTCTTTTGTTTTATTCCCAAATAAATATTTCTTCAACTTGCATTTGCTAACGTTATTATTGTCTTTTCTGTCCGACTAGTTGGGTGATACTAAAACGATTAGACCCTTCGCCCTCAAGGGCCACGGGTCAATAGCCATTCGGCTTCGCCTCATGGGCTATTGACCCGTAGCCCTTGCGGGCTACGGGTCTAATTGTTAAATAGTCAGAACGGCAAGTCCTTGTTGTCAGTCATGCGCACAAAATGTCATCTGACGTCTTGAGAAGAGCTGCATAACCGCAGCTCATCTAGCTGTAAAAATGTGTTTGTTTAAATACCGTCTGATTTTCCTCAACTCCGCGTAGGGCACCCCTGTCCTGTATCAGGCGATATTCACAGTGTCGCTGGGTGTGAGCGGATAATAAGTGCTGCTTGCATAGTTTAGTCCCCAGTTCCAATGTTCCTCCTTAAGCTAGGACGTTCTTCTCAGGACCTTGAAATTATGTGTGCCTGGGCGCCTAGTTTAAAAGGGGCCTCGCCGTTTTATGAAAATGAAGGTTTTATCTGTCATCTTGTTTAAATAAATTTCCATTCTTTTCTTCTTCCTTTTCTGCAGCCTTGAAACAGAAAATCATCGCCTTTCGCAGCAATTGGTGCATAGTAGTGCACAGAACAGTTACAACTTCAGGCCACACGAAGAAATGGAGCTCTTGAGGGCGCAGGTACATTGTAACAATGTCTTCTTAAACTTTCGCAGTGCTTCGCATAAAAACCGAAAAATGTCAAGAATCAGGTAGTTGGCGCGGTGGCTCGACGGTTAGTGCGCGGGGGTCCGGGTTCGAGTCCTGTCCATGGTCATTCTGTCCTAGATAAATGAGACACTTCACTGTCAAAGTCACTTTCTCCAAGGGCTCTTTGATTATTAGAGCGTAACACTTACTTTACCCAGAATTTCAATACCTTAGCTAGGCTATTGATGAGTTATGATGAGGACAGTTTAGAGTTCGTGTCTGAATGTAAAATCGGGTTTATTTTTCTAAATCTGATTCTTTTTTTTTTTATTTGCCTACTTCTGAAATTCCGACATTGCGATTGTTAGTTTGTCCAACTCGACGCGTTACCATAACTCAGCTTGGAGTTGAGAAAACAAGGAGAGACCATCGGAACTTAACTCAGTGAACTGAAATTTTCTTCACAGTTAAAAGTGTATGAGGACGATTTTAAGAAAGAGAGATCTGAAAGAGAGAATCTGAATACACAGAAAGAACGCCTGAAGAGAGAGTTGAGTGACGCCAAAGCTACTATTGCTGGTCTCCAGCGGCAACTTAAACAGGTAAATACGGTAAGATAAAAGACTTGTCCGGCCACAGAAATAACTCCAGCTTGTATGAATTACGGAAAATAAATTCACGCAAGAGGTTGAGTATGTAAGTTAGTCACAGCTTAACTGATATAATCAATAGTTTATATTATAAGTCTTACGACTTACTGAATTTGTGGGACCCATACGAGTATGTATAGAAAAGTAACTAGTTAAGTAAGAGAATATGTCAATGTTAGAAATACACTTTGCTTCATGCTTTTTCCAAACAAGTTCATTTCCTTAAAGAAAAACTCTTTCAATTTTCAGGCTCTCAACGGAGAAGGTGGGTATGGCGAGCCACGTGACATGCATGGACCAATCATGAGTGAACCCTACTATGAACCTTATGTGGTGAGGCACCCGCTGGATTATGGGATGGCACGTACATACTCAGGGGGGTACATTGGTCCTGGTGCTAGCAAAGTAAGTACAGTTGGTGGATTTTTTTTCTTTACAGATTGTCGTTCAATTCTTCTGCTCCTTCTCGTCTTGCTTCTTCTGCTGCTCCCTCTTGTCTTTCGTCTTCTCCTTCTCCTCTTCAGCCTTCTGTTCCTGAACCTCCTGCTCCTGCTCCTATTCTTGCTCCTACTCTTGCTACTCCTGCTTTTCTCTCTTCTCCTCCCCCTACTCTGTCTCCGCCCTCCGCCCTCCGCCCTCCGCCCTCCGCCCTCCGCGCAAACCCTCATCTAGTTTCTGTACTTTCGTAATTTCAGGATGTGCTTCGAAGAGGACAGACGCCGTACGTCAGAAAGGCGTTCCTCTCACCAGATATGACAGCTGTCATTGATCGTGACGTGGTAGATGGCTCAGCTAAAGATCCTCCTAAAAGCATCTAGGGGCTAAACTTCGCAAGGCCGATTTCCAAAATTTTTTGCGACTAGCAACTTCCACTTGCTACGCTCTGTAACAATACATGTATCGTCTTGTCTTGAGGTGATTAATTCATTACATTGCTGAATGATAAGAGGCTTTTCAAACTGAGAAATAAAGGACTCTTTAATTATTTCTCCGGCGTTGAATATCACGTGTACAGTGCGTGTGCTTCAGAAGGCCAAAGTCCATGTTTTCTCGAGATTGTAACAAGTTGAAGGGAAGATTGTTTACAATGATATATATACGGGTGTAAACAAACTGATACTTGCTTACGGGGTTTTTATGTTCTTTTTTTTTTTTGCATATTTCCCAATGCTTTCAATAGCTGAGCGCATAACTCTTTTCCTATTTTTGTGGGCTTAACCTTTCCACATGTCTGAATAGAAAGCGCACTTTGTAATCCATGAGGCAGAGTAAATCTATGACTTCAAACGTAATTCGAAAATAGACAGTACCTCATGAAATTACTGTGCGATAGCTTTGATTTCAATGATCTACGACGTAATAAACTACCACAAAATTACTACTCCTTAGCTTTCATTTGAATAGTCACACTCTAGGGTTTCATAAAAAAAAACAAAGAATTAAAAGTTAGACGAGCCACATATCACAGCTTCATGAACAGTAGCACGTAAGAGTACTGCCTCAATAGATTTCATTGGTGGCCACCTTAAAGGTTTCCCAGCTTTATCTGCTTAGCTAACTCGTATTTCACTGCGCAATCTGGTTGCAAGGCTAATTTTCGGGTGAATTTTTTTGGGTGCTAAAGAAGATGCATTGTTTTATTTTTATTATTATTTTATTTCTGTGTTCCGGATTTGTGTTTATCCGCCTGTAATTTAATCGTTATAAACATTGTCCCGCTAGTGTTATGGTTTCTGCAGAGAATGCTTTGGTTAAATCACTCTATTTTGAATATATAATTTGGTAATTCAGTTGTAGTTGTATTGCTTTTTATAGCCTTAATTTTGGGTCTCGCTTTTGCTGAACATTTAGTTCAGAGGAGCTATGATTGAAGAATATTTTTGCCAGTAATATTTGATAGCTATAGCAAAACTTTGGCGAGAGAGCTTGTGCAGCAGTGGTTGCAAGTGTGAAGTCAGTTTACGAGTTCAAATTGAACAAGGGTTCATAGGCTGAAAGAAGTAGGGTAATGCTAGAAATACAGTAATAGAAGTTTGTTTTTATTAAAGGCCAAAAAAAATAAATAAAACTTCTTTAAATGAATATGTGAAACAGTTTGTGTTACTACATGGGCCGGGTTGTTCAAAGCCCGATTAAGCTAACCCGGGACCAGCGAGTTTTTTATTTTAATTTTGTAACTCGGCTTTTCGGTGATGTTTTCTGCTTAAATTTTTTGCCCTTCAGTTTTAAGTCTGAATAATCTCAAACTACACAAAACATAAGAAGTGAAAAAAACATCTTTATCCAAGGAAAATTAATACTTTGGTTAAATTTTAATCCTGAGTTAGCGTTAACCAGTTTTCGAACAACCCGGCCCTGAATTGCACATTACATCTATTTGTAACCTTTTAATCAAAGGAAACCTAAAAATCATCGTTCACCACGGTGAAATACACAGAATTTTCGCTTCTAGTTTGTGTTTTTTTTTTTGATCATCATTCTTTTCCCCAGACCGCCTCAATCCTTCCCAGCCTCCGAGAATCTGGGATCGATCACTCCAGTTATCCAAACTTTCCAGAACAGTCGATACGTCATATATACAAAGTGATAAAATACGATTTGATTATATTTTGATAACAAAAATCCCATATTTTCCAAGTTCGGGCGTTTTTATTTACATGAAAATCGAAGGATTATAAAATAACTTAATTTTCGTCCTTTACCTAGTTCTCTATTTATTCCATACATATATTTATCTTGCGTTAAGAAAAACGTCTTTTTTCTTTAACATATAATAAAATGGTGACATAATTACATTAAATGTTCTAATATTTTACTTGTTTGTCGGTACAAACTGAAATTGTGAATAACAAAACACCCTTCTTTGTCAGCTCAATTTTTCTACAGCTAAAGAGAGGCCTGGACCTAAAGAATTTCGCTCTGATGACGAAGCTGTGAAGAGATCCAGGTACTTTCTGATTGGTTCTTAACTGCGCGCGCGAATTCGAGCAACAGCCAATCACAAAGGGCTTCGTTATCAGTCGAGAAAAATCCCTCGACCTGCGAAAAAAAAAGTTAACGCTTGAGAGAAGGTATTTTTTTACAGTCTCTATCCTAAGTTTTCTCCGTTGTCACCGAACAGATCTCGAATAGCTTTGTCAACATTCGTCGCCCTGGCTTGTTGCTGTTTCCGCATGTTCATGGTTTCACCGGGGTACATCGGCACTTTTTACTGTATGTGTACTTGTGTTTTCTGAACTTGACCGGGAGTGACGGACACCGTAGTGTGACAGTCTTCGTGAAAGTGCGCTGAGGCAAACAACTTGTACAAGATTGGAACAGTGGCTCCAAAGATTCGTGGTTTGGAATGTACAGCGAGTTGCACTGACCATAACAGAAGTTGTTCATGACCTCTAGTGGCAGACAACCGCTGACCTGGATGGTCTGCTTGAACGGGCGCGTTTTGCACCAGTCATTTCTGAGATCAGATTTCTTCATAATGAACACGTCCGCTTCATCTTCTGATGTTAACCCATCTTCTTGAACTTTGGAAGGGCGAGCTGCTGCTGTTGCAATCAGCAACCAAACAACGTAAAATACGCTGAAAACCATTTTTAATCTGAAAGTATAAAGGACATTTACTTAAAGATTCACATATCAATTCTCCTCACAAATTATCATACTTTGCTTTAAAATTAGTTGTAAGAATTTGGGTGTACATCAAGAATCCCCCTGCTGACGAGTTCCTTTGTACACGTTAATTTCGCGAATTTCGCAGTTTAAAAAAATATCGCGAAATTAAAGTGACGCGAATAGTAAGTGAAGCGAAACTTAACATGACGCGAAAATTAAGTGACTCACATTATGTTACTCTTCAGAT